CATCTCCTGCAAACATATACGCAACAGGGAAATGTATGCACCTAACATGCACATTGAGCACCACAAAAGAAGTACAGCCTACCCATACGCTGAGTGTTTCATACATACCACGCATGCACCAGGGTCTTTTTTTCTTGCTGTGTGCCAAAGAATTTGAAAAATACACTGGACAAAATAGCATTTTCCAGTGATTGTAACTAATAGCACAAGCTTGACCTACCTGTATTAACTGAGCCTATTTTCATCCTATTATGCTAAACAATAGGGAATGTGATAGGGAGAATAAAATTGGAAACAAACAGAAATCATCTTAGCCACTCCTTTGAAAGTCTGTAAAATTTTTCAGTTTATTAAAATTTATCCCCAGTTCACCCAGAACTCCACTGCAGTCAGTGCCGAATGACAGAACATAAATTGCTGGAGGAGGAGCAAGCTTTGCCTCGAAATAGGGTGATTTTTTTTTTATCATCTTGAATAAGGCACATAAAAACAGAACATTCTTCACTTTAGCTCATTTGTTCCACCAACTTAAACATGAATTCCTTTTCATTGTATTAGCCCCTGATCTTGTACTTTCAGCAGAAAGTCAGTCCAAAAATGAAGAATAATTAACAAGACTGTTGTTAATTTTAAGTTATAATGCATGCTTAATTATAACAGTACAATTCACAGGTGGTAAATCTGCAAACTTTAGGGCTGTGCAGGGAAGGAATAAGAAACCTTATTGGAAGCGCATGTGTAATAACTACACAAAACCATTCTGAACAAGTTAATATCCAACACCACAAGCTTCATGAAATGAGAACCTGCAGGCACTGACAGATTATAAGACAACAATGCTTAGAACTGCAGTAAGCATTTCAAGTTGTAAAGTCAACAAGAAAAAGCTACCAAACTCCTTCTAAGTTAGAAATCTTAAAGTTATGGTATCTTATAAGGTATCTTATGTCACAGGCAGGTGTGCTTCAAATTTTCTCAATACTAAGCAATTCTGAAAGCCATGACCTCACGTGTTGGGACTTGAGTAGGAAGCACTGTATTTCCAGGTAATGTCAACCCCTGTGCCTGGGCTGGGAGCTACTTAGTGAGGACTACTTCAAGTGCTGAGGGCAGGGATGCTGCTCTTCATCCACTCGCCTCCATTTGCAAAGCACTTGAATACAGTCTGGAAGTCAGTGTAGAGAAAGCATTTCACTACGCTGTACCCATCAGTGAAACTGGTTCGCAGTACAAGCAAGCAGCTAGCTACTACAAAGAAAATTTTCAGGCAAGTTCTCTTTTAAAGGAAATGCCAAGAAGACTTGATAGTAGAAAGTACCAAGCTAGTCTTTTGGGAAGATCTGGTATCCTGGGCTCCATCAGAAGAGGGGTAGCCAGCAGGGACAGGAAGGTGACTGTCCCTCTCAACACTGCCCTTGTGAGGCCCCATCTGGAGTACTGTGTCCAAGTCTGGGGCCGCCAGCACAAGATAGGCAGGAAGCTGTTGGAGTAGGTCCAGATAAGGGCCACAAAGATGATCAGAGAGCTGGAGCACCTCCCCTGCAAAGACAGGCTGAGGGAGCTGGGATCGTTCAGCCTGGAAGGCTGCAGGGTGACCTCACTGCAGCCTTCCAGTACCTAAAGGGAGCCTATGAATAGGAGGCAAGTCAACTCTTTGCAGGGTAAATAATGACAGAACAAGGGGATATGGTTCTAAGTTGAAGCAGGGAAGACTTAGGGTGGATATCAGGGGAAGCTCTTTACCAAGAGGTGCTGGAACAGGCTGCCCAGAGAGGTTTTTTGTGGTGAGGTGCTGGAACAGGCTGCCCAGAGAGGTTGTGGATGCCCAGTCCCTGGAGGTGCTCAAAGCCAGGTTGGATGGGGCCCTGGGCAGCCTGGTCTAGTATTACATATGGAGGTTGGTGACCCTGCCTGTAGCAGGGGGACTGGAGCTTGATGATCTCTGAGGTCCCTTCCAATCCTAGCTGTTCTATGATTCTATGATCTGTATGATCCTTGATCCAGAAAATGACTGTAAGAATAAAACAATAGTGGAGATTAAGTTTTTAGAGCAAATTGGCCCAATGGGTTTTAAATTGCTCCAAGCCCCAAGTAAGACAGCACAAAGGAACAGAACATGAAATCCAAAACTAAAAGAAATATATGGAATATTATATATAATTCTATACATATATATCTACACAATATATTTTACTTGTAATATAGTACAATTAACTTGTAAAATTATGTATGTGTAATTATTTACATTTAAATTTTATATACATATAAAATTATATATTTATATATACATATTATATACAAAGAACTGAAATAGATAAAGAAAAATGCCAGTCATAGAAGACACAAGTGACTATGAAAACAGTAAGTGATAAAGCAGACCAGAAGTAGATGCAGTTTTAACTAGAACAGCCAAAGCAGCTGGTTGAAGGCTCTTGTAAGATTAGATAAAGAAAAAAACTAATGCCAGTAAATGTGGAACAGGCAACATAAAAGTAAGAGCTGTGGCTTTGGATTCTACCAGAATATGACTTCTGTATTTTGTGCAGTACTAGATATACTCACAGCAGTTGCTCATGCACTGCCACGACATGACACTTCCACACAGTTTGGCTCAATAAATGCTGTGCTAGAAACTTTTCTGTTACTTTCAGACTGAGTGTGTGTGCTTTCTTACATTCAATATATTTGTTTTTGTAATAATTCCTTCCTATTGAAGAAAAGAATAAACAGCTTAACCTTCTGTTGACTCACTGAGCTAAATGGATCACCAGGTCTTCCTTGAAGCCTTCGGTTCTCCTTTTCCCTGTGTCTGAGCTGAATGATGGCCCAGTACAGCCAGGAGGAGACCTTGGTCATCTGCAAAAGGCTGATTTAACTTGTCTGCTGTACGCACATTCTTTAGCTCCTGCTCCACCAAGTTCTACAGCTGCTTGCTAAAATAAGCTTGTTACCTACAAAATCTATCTCAAAAAGAGGTGTGGTTTTATATATACATACACAAACACATCTGTACACATACATGCATATGTTATATGTGTATATATCTGAAAAACATCTTTTATATAAATAATACATTCTTCTTATACTTTACAACAAGACCATGTGCAGCGTGCTGCACTTGGGTCAGGGCAATCCCAGGTATTTATACAAACTGGGAGAGCAGCCCTGCAGAGAAGGACCTGGGGGTCCTGGTGGATGAGAAGCTGGATATGAACCAGCAGTGTGCGCTTGCAGCCTGGAAGGCCAACTGCGTTCTGGATGGCATTAGAAAAAGGAGTGGCCAGAAGGGAGAATGAGGTGGTTGTCCCTCTCTACTCAGCTCTTGTGAGGCCTTATCTGGAGTTCTGCAACCAGGCCTGGGGTCCCGAGTACAGGATGGACATGGAGTGGGTCCAGAGGAGGGCCACTAAGATGATCAGAGGGCTGGAGTACCTCTCCTATGAAGAGAGGTTGAAAAAACTGGGCTTATTTAGCTTGGAGAAGGCTCTGCAGAGACCTTATTGTGACCGTTCAATACTTGAAGGGTGTGTATAAACAGGAGGGGGAATGGTTGTTTATGAGAGTGGATAGTGACAGCACAAGGAAGAATGGCTTTAAACTGAGATGGGGAGGTTTAGGTTAGATATTAGGAGGAAGTTTTTCACCCAGAGGGTGGTGATGCACTGAACAGGTTGCCTAAGGAGGCTGTGGATGCCCCATCCCTGGAGGCATTCAATACCAGGCTGGATGTGGCTCTGGGCAGCCTGGTCTGGTGGTTAGCAACTCTGCACAAAGCAGGGGGTCAAAACCCAATGATCACTGTGATCCTTTTCCACCAAGGCCATTCTGTGATTCTGTTAAACAAACCCATATGCTTTCCAATACACAGTTAAATAAACTGCTTTGTTCTTTATACAGTTATGCCTCAGCAGTTTACAAATAGCAAGTTAGCAGATGCCAGAACTGACTGAGGTGTGACACTGATTAGTCAGTATTAAGATGCTAGATCCTTGCTCCTAGTAATACCACTGACTGTTATTCTAGGAAAAATGCCCTCTTCCAACAGGCACACAAACTGGGAGAGCAGCAGGTATTTCTACACGTTTCCGTCAACCCAAATCCAAACCCCGTGTCTGAGAGCAGTGTCCAAACGGCCCTTGGTCTGCCATACAGGGGTCGTGCCCACCGCCCTCCTGTGCAGTCCCTTCCCCTTATCTCCTCCCTTCTCCCTGCTCCTGTCCTGACGCAGCTCCGTGCCGCCCGCTCGGGCCCCATCGCTGCCCACCACCGTCCCGGGAAGAAGGGCACAAACCACAACAGCCGCAGCCCACGGGTGCCCGCAGCCCGCCGCCGCGCGGCTCTTACCCTCCTGCAAGAGGCGGCTGGGCCGCACGGGCGGGACGCAGAAATGCCGCGCTCTCCAGCCGGGCCGCGGCGGCCGCGCCACCTCCCGGTCCGACAGCCAGGTGACGGCCTCGTAGTTGTCGCCACGGAGCAGCGCGGCCGCCTCGGCGCTGTGCACCGCCACCTCCTCGAAGTGCTGCAACCCGCCCGAGTGGTCGAAGTGGACGTGGGTGGCCACGGCCAGCAGAGGCCGGGGGGCGGCCCCGTCCGGCGGCGCCAGCAGTCCCGCGGCACGCAGGTAGTCGGGCAGGCTGCGCAGCCCCAGCCCCGCGTCGATCACCAGGTCGCGCTGCGAGCCCCGCACCAGCCAGATGTTGGCCCGGTTGCCCGACTCGTAGAAGCGCTCCTGGATCCAGAAGATGCCGCCGCCCAAGGGCTTGTGCGCGAACCATTCCAGCGCAGACATCGCGTCCGGCGCCGAGCCCGTCCGCGCGGCGGGACCGGGCGGGGCCTGGGGCGCCGGGGGGAGGGCAGAGCCGGGCCCGGCCCACTGCGGCAGCCGCGGGCGGAGCGAAGCTGCGGGTGAGTAGCGGGAGCGGAGGGGCGGCAGCTGGCGATGGGAAGGAGCGGGGCTGTGGGACGGCGCGGGGGCAATGAGCGCAATGGGGGCAATGGGGAAGGAAGAGGCTCCGACAGGGCGTTGTCATCTTGGCAGTGTTGTCATCGCGGTCGGTATTTCACTTCCCTGACGCGTTCAGGGGATGCAGCTGGCATGAGCAATCCCCGCATTTAACTGTCCATGCGTTATTTGCTCTGCCATTATTTCCAGCTCCCGCTGGTTGCTACCGTCTCAGAGAAATGAACACAGCAAAAGTTGTGCTCAGAGTTGTGTGCTAATGGGAACTGGTTCAGGTGTTTGGCTGCCACACAGGCCTGCGGCTTTGGCCTCTTCTGGCTTCAGAGGGTTTGCCTAGCTGCATGAGGGGCAGCGCCTGCAGCACATACAACTTCACACGTTTCAGCTGTGCTTTTGCTTACCCCTGAAACTCATCCTTTTTTCTGTTTTGTAGAGTAAAAGCAACAGAATCTATCTGTAAATAAGGAACTTCATGCAGCCAAACATCCTTCATAGTCTTAATTTCTCATGGCAACTCTATCATTCATAGTTTGTTTTCAGATTCACAGAATCATAAAATATCTCAAGTTGGAAGGAAACAAAGGGATCGTAGAAACATCAAGGCTGGAAGGGACTACCAAGACCATCTAGTCCAACCCCAACCCGCTACCACCATGCTCAATAACCGTGTCCTTCAGTGCTGCATCCACATGCTTCTTGAATGGTGGTGACTCCAGCACCTCTTGAGGCAGCCTGTTCCAATACCTCACCGCTCTTTCTGAGAATATTTTTTTTTCCTAATATCCACCTTCAACCGCCCCTTAAATTGGCAGCTTAAAGCCATTCCATCTCGTCCTGTTGCAGTTACCTGGCAGAAGAGGCTGACCCCCATCCCAACACCTATCTGGTCATTGTAGAGAGCAGTAAGGTCTCCCTTGAGCCTCCTCCAGGCTTCTCCAGTCCCTTCTAACACTCCCCATAAAGCTTGTGCTCCAGACCCTTCACTAGCTTCATTGTCCTAACTGATGATCCTTTGCTGGATCAGCTCCTAGTTCCACACAGGACCACCCAAAATTCCAACTAGATTTCTGTGAGCAAACTATAAAGTTAATTGTCAAAGTCACTGTTTCCTTTATGATTTCTCCTCTCATCTCTTGCTTTCACTTTATTGATGTCAGTAGACTTCCCTTAGGCTTCTATGCTCAAAAGAAGATGAGAGTTAGTAAAACTGCCACATTGAAAGAGGATTCATTTTAAAGCTTGTTGCTTCTCATCAGATTAATTCATTATTTCAAGAAAATATTATAATTAATTTTAAAGCCAAATTTAAATATATATAGGTATCTAATGCAAAGTATGTACCAATTCCCACACACCTGGAAATTTCCACCAAACCCTTTTCTGTTTTCTTCCTTTTTTTTTCTGTCCTCTTTTTTCACACCTTGATATCTGCTTATGTTTGGGAATTATCTGTTATCTTTCTTCATTCTGCTAGGCTCACATTTTCTTTCTCATCTTGTTTTCAAAAGAATTTCAAGTATTTTTTCTGTCTTCAGTTAATTAAATACTCAGATTTTTCTTTCTTTCTTTCTTAAAATGATTTATGTAGGACATTCTGATTTTTTTTAGATAATTTTCTGTGAAGCAGACTGACATAGAAACGTATATCATGATTTAGCTTCCTCCAAAGAGAGCATATTCCTATGGAAAATAATACGTAAGAAAAGACTTGCTTTTTACTGACATTTTATAAAAAGGCCATCCCTTCAATTTTGGGAATTCTGGAAGGATCTTAAGTAGACCTTTCTTTGCTCCTGATAGTAATTCTCCTTGTTGTCTTAGACAACTGTATGAAAAGCTGTAAGTATTGTGCTAGTTCTTATTTCCTATTTGGACCTTTATCTTGTGTGGATTGCCTTAAGAATAGCTGGAATGTTAATGGTAGAGCAGGCAGTCTGGAACAGTCTTGCAGTTTGATAACCTGGTAATTACTGGTATGCACAAAGGATTTCTGGGCTGGGATTCCTCAGTCATACTTTATGTGGTCTTGAGTTGTGAGTCACTTTGCTCAAACTAGGCCTATCTTGGACCTCATCTCTTGATATCATTCTCCACAAAAAAAATGTTTCTTGTACTTTTCTCTACCTGCCAGCTCATGGATCATACAGTGCTGAGATGGAGATTAGGTGAGATGTAGCTATAAATGCAGGCTCTTTATTTTTTTTTAATAGCCGTACAGAAATTTATGGCTATTGTGCAGTAAATTACTGTAATTGCAGATAATTTTTTTTTCTTTTATAAGACCTACAATTCTGTGATTCTGTGATTCTGTGATATGCTTGGTTAATAGGACAAGAGGAAATGGCTTCACATTTCTTCAGAGGAGTGTTAGATTGGATAATAGGGAAATTTTCTTTACTGAAAGGGTTATGAAGCATTGGAATTGGCTCTCCAGCAAAGTAGTTGAGCTCCCATCCCTGGAGGTAATAAAAGACGTGTAGCTGTGGTGCCCAGAGACATGGTTGGATGGTAGACTTGGTAATATGAAGCTTGATGATCTTAACATGGGTGCCCAAACTTTTGGCTTGTCTGGGATGCTTTCAGTGAAGAGCAGTCTTCACTCTGAGATTTTATATGTGATCATGGGCTGCATATAAAATATATAATGTAGTTCATGTGTATAAGTAAACATTAAAAGAGAAACAAAATCAAAAAAACTAGTGGGATATTTGACCATGTTTTTGTGAAAATGGTGCATCAGTGGTTTGATGGCTTTTAGTGAAATGATGGTTCACAGTTCATAGTGAATCTAAAAGTGTTCATCAGAGATTCTGGATGAAGTTTTCTCTTTTGGTGTTTCATCCTTGAAAAAAGTTGTTCACAAATGTATGTACTGTCAAAAAGTGTTGACATGGATAAAGTGTGGTCACGAAGTGAAGGGTATTTCTCTCTGCTAAGATAGGGCTTATACAAGTCTGATAAAGAGACATGTCTGATTGCAACTCTATACATTCCATTTGAAAATACAGGTAATATATTTATAGGTCACAAATATACAAAAAAACCTGGTGATTCTTTCAGCAATCTTGAAACCTGTTCCCAAATTCCATTATCAAAATGGAAGCCACAGCTACATATTTTTCACTGTTCGCAGGACTGCATTTAGCCAATGTATCAAAACACATACAATTGTTTGCCACAGCACTTGAGCCAGCACTGTGCTGCACTCGCCCCTGTCCCAGTTTCAGCCCAGACAGTGCTGACTGTACAGCACTGTGTGGTTGCTGTGAGCAATGGATGTGCTCCCAGGGCTGGTTTGGCTGCTCCATGGGTCAGAGCCACTGGGTACAGAATCACAGAATAACAGGGATTGGAAGGAGCCTTGAAAGATCATCTAATCCAGTATCTCTGCTGGTGGCATAGATCAGGTCTCCAGCACGAGAGTTGATAGCTATTATTGGTGTTGTGCAAAGACAGCACTCTGGATTCCACTTCACCTAACACGTCAGGCACCTAAAGCAGAATTCATGGAGGCATGGCAGGGCAGAGGCCTGGTCATCATGAGTGATGAGGCAGCTGGGGCAACTCTGATGCTGCAGCCCTGACCAGTCTACAGTGCAGTGCACTGGTAAAAGTACAGGGCGAGTTGTTCCACTATGCCAGATCTGCACCTGAAAAATGTGACACTCTGAAAGAGAGGGAGCAGACATAGTTATTTGCTGGCCCAACCAAGGGTGAAAGAAACACCACATTACTTCAGCAGGGAGCCTTCCTAGCCCCACCACTCAGCCATCTGCTGCTTCCTGATGGTACAGGGTCAGACTGTGACTATGGCCCTGGCAGGTCCTTGAGCTCTAAGTGCCCTCCCTGCACCACCTCCCCAGGGACAGAACCTGAGGAAAAGGCCTCAAGTTTACACTAGAGAGGTTTAGACTGGATATCAGGAAGAATTTCTTCATGAAGTGGTTGGTAAAGCATTGGAAAGTGCTTCCCGGGAAAGTGGTAGAGTCACCACCATCTCTAGAGGTGTTCAAAAGGCATAAGGAAATGGTGCTTAGGGACATGGTTTCTTGTTAACCTTGGTAGTGTTAATTACTTGAGATGATCATGCTGAAGATCTGTTCCAACCGAAATGATTCTGTGATTCTACCTTGATTGAACTCAAGTCACTACATACACTAAGCTTTATAAGAAGAAAGTATTAATGCATATGTTATTAGTTAATTTCTGTCTTGCAAAAATACCCAGTAGAAATGAGGGGAATAATTTTATTTAAAGCATTAATTAAATTTATAGTACCTAAGATGGGCGTTAAAAACATTTGAAATATGTATGGCCTTTGAGAGTGCTTTTAAAATTACTTCAATGCTTGCTAAACGCTGGGTTTTATTCATAATTTTATATGCAATGTATTTCATATACGTAAAAAATTAAACCTGTTAAAATTTTTAATATTTTCAGTAACTTCAGATGGCTGGGTCAGGTAGAGGAAGAGGACGTGCTTCATTTACATTCAACATTGAAGCCATTGGCTTCTCTAAAGGTGCAGTTCTACCTGATGTTGTGTGTAAGCCTCCACCGTTATTTCCTGTAAGTACTAAAGCTTTCTTTGGTGCTCTTGGTGTTCAGGTAAAGTGCATTCTCTTTCATTTATGTGTTAGAATGAAGTGTAAGAGCAACTCTAAGAACTTTAGGTCAGTTTTTAAATAGTTAAAGTGAATGATCAGTTGTTGCTGGTTTTATCATTATTGTTATCTCTTCCTGCTCATTTGCTAGCAATTGTATCCCTCAGTAACCTAGATAGCTTGTGACATGCTCGTTCATTAGTGACCTCACTGTAATTTGGTTTTCTGGATGCTGCAGTAATAGAAACACTGGATTTTTGAACTTGCTTGAAATGAAGTTATACTAGTGTTTCAAGTTATGACTGTATCTGATTTAGAAATTTTCTGTTGATTCAAATACAGAAGGATTTTGGATGATTATCTTGTGCTTCAGTAGCCAGAATGTGAAAAATAATTTGAAAACAACAGAAAGATGTTTTATGTAATTAAGGGTATTGAGATTGGACATTCTGAGTGTGTTTGGAACGTATCAGAAAATTAAAGGGCAAGAAAAAGTAAGTTATTTTCTTACCAAGCTGAGTTTTGCTACGTCGTCAAACTTGGACAATTTTGAGGCTGAAAAGTTTTTCAGTTTTCAGTTTTATATGAGAACTTCCCCTTTGTATGAGGATTGTATGAAATTTTTCTCAACACATTATGGTATGAAACTAGCAAGTTTGGCATGAAATTGGCGCTATTCTGATATTTACCTGAATAGTTATTTCACACATGGTTTTGATTTACTGAAGCAGATGTTATGTTAATGTCTTAGTCCACCATTTCCCTTATAATTTAAATGGCATGAATTCATTGATTTTAAGTCTAAATTGTTCCTAGTGTCATTATTATCTGCTTGATAGCACTAGGATACTGAATTATGTGTGAGTACAGGTTGTGCAGTTACAATCAGTGATCGAGTTGCTTTAGAATTATTAATCCCATATGCGGTGTATAACTCCTTTCTAACATATACACTGGGGAAGCTGAAGATGCTTTTTTTCCATTGAAAAATTGAAGTTACTCAGTATAATTAGAACTAGCAAAAATAGCATGAATTACATTTAAAAATTGGGCAGTGACCAAAAGTGTGATCTTACAGCTGTTCACTGACTTACACTGAAATTATTTTAAGCAGTGAATTGTTGATCGTGTTTACATATTTCTTTTGATTTTTTTTTTTAATTGATTTCCTGTAAATGCAATTAGAAAACCAGTTCAGGTACATACCAATTAAGGTACATCAGCATACCATCAGCATCATGAGAGATTTAAAAAGCAAAAAAAAGCTGAAATTAGTAAGCTCCAGCTGTGGAATCTGCGATAATGTTTTGTGGTTTTCAACCAACCACTCAGATATTAATTGTGCACTACCTGTCAGATGAGAGAAATATTATGTAGTTACAACATAACTGATTCCATCACTACCTTATTTTGGCATATATTTTAGAAATTTTTTATTACATGGCTTTTCAGTTTCAGGATTTATAGTTCAAACAAACGAAAACGGCCAGAAGAATTTAACAGTTCACTTACCTGAAGAAAAATTGTGATGTGGCAGGCCTGTGTGCTATCTGATTGTGATATGGTATTAATCAAACTGTGTTATTTGGGGTAATCATACATAATGTACGAAGGGTTGTCTGAAAGTAATGCCTTCTGTTTTATGATGTTGGCCCACACCGTCAGAGGCAGATGTTGATTGGTATGATAGTAGGGGTTGAACCTTCCCACCCATATTCTGTTGCATTATATTGCTGTGCAACAGATGGCAGCAGAGGGGCAGTCTGACAGAATGGCATCTGACATGGAAGAGCAGATAAAGAAAAGGGTTATCACCGAATTCCTCCATGAGCAATAAGTGACACCCACTGACACTCATCGACGCTTGCGGAGCACCTATGGAGACCCAACAGTGGATGCGAGCACAGTGAGGTGTTGGGGGGTGCATTCCAGCAGTCACTACAGTGACAGTGGGTCGCCTCTGCTGGTGCAGGTTTTTACGAGCACAGCTTGAAGGCTCTTACTCATCGCTGGTGAAAATTCATAGTTAATGGAGCTGACTGTTGAAAGATAGTTTTGTTGCTGAGATTTGCTCCATCTTTGTATCTGTTGTAGTTTCCCTGGAAATAAGTAGGAGGCATTTCTTCCAGAGCATCTATTCAGTTAAAATTCTGTTTTAGAAGCATTTAGGGCTGTTTGACTAAAGCAGTGGTTTCTGGTTAAGTTAGGTTGGAATGAAAAATTGATGTTGTTCTTTAAGAATCCTTTAAGCTTAACATGATTATGAATCACGGTTTCACAAATCTACTATTTTCTCCCTGATTGCCTGATGAATTTTTGTAGAAAGATACAAAAAGTTATGAAGTGTAAATTTAAACAGCTATGTATTTTAGAATGCAGTAAAGTATACTTGCAATGTAATATGCAAAGTTGCATTCTTCCATGATTATGTGTGTTTATTGTAGGTTTTTTTTTAGTGTTCCTGCATATGTGATGGATATCAAAGACATTGCAAATAATAAAAATAATTTGTACAGAGTACAGAAAATAAGCCAGTGCCTCTGAAAACAGGAGACGATGAAGATTACATGTTGGCCTTAAAACAAGATTTTAGAGGAGCTATGAAAAAAATGCCATATTTTTTGGCAGTAGAAGAAGATCACGAAGGTTTGTTTGTGTGCTTTTTATTTTTATTTCTGTCTTTAGTATTTATTCCATGAGGGATAATGTAGTGAAAGGCATGTGTTGAAAATATATTTAGTATTGATAAGGGAGAATGAGAAAGAGCCAGAGTAATATGATAGGAGTGCTCTCATTTGCATTTACTGAAGTTGCAGGTCACCTATACAAGTGCTGTACCTTGAAAGCAACTGCTGTGTTAAAAAAGCAAGGTATTCTGTTTGATATAAAGTAAGAAACATTAAGACCAACTATTTATGGTTCTTTCAATTATATGATAATCAATACAAACTACATAGGTATTTCTACCTGTTAAAAATACTGTAAAAATTTTGCATTGGAGCAAAGAAATCCTAGTAAATATAAGATTTGAAATTCAGCTTCCATTTTAACTATGTAGAGGTGAACTTAAAACAATAAATATTTTAGTTAATAGCTGGACATTCTAAAACGTGCTCTTTTAGAACATGAGCTAAAAAGGTTGGTAAGATGCAGAGAAGATCAGGAAAGACTGAGAATTCACTTGAAACAGAAAAATCAAAGTGAAAGTAAAGTATTTATTGAGGTTTGCATCAGAAGTATCAGAAGCCAAATTTGAAGACAAAACTTGATCTTACTGCATTAGAAGAGAATGTCTTTAATTAAATGTAATTAAACATTGACAGCCTTATTATTGTTTGATAAAAATAAATACTCTGCTACTTGATAACCATTCATGCATCACTTTTAAAATCCAAGCGTCCTGGTCAGAAAACAGAGCAGGAGTAGAAGGCCACAGTCTGTTTACTTTGCAGTTGCAGTATTCTAAACCTAGCAGCCACTGGAGCTAATCACTGGGGGGAGTGCTTTTTTTCACTTGTGACTTTTGCTGCTCTCTGTTATCCTTTTAAGTGCTGATTCTCAGTGCTATAAACACCACGCGCTAATACAGGAAAGGAAAAAATATAGCATGTTAGGAAATTTGTGTCAAATTCAAGGCCCAGTCTGTGCTGTCTCTATCAAGCTTTACTGCTTAAGAGTCTGGAATAGCCAAACATTAGATAATCTTTCCATTGCTATAATGTGGTGATTTCAAATAATGAGAACTCACATAAACTCTAAAAGATGAGGTTTAATATCCATCCAGAAACCATCAAAGTATTTTCTAACTCTGACTATTCATGGTAGAGATATGATACAGCCACGTAATCTTATCCCCTCTTGAATGTGGGCAAATTCTAGAGGTTCTTGAGACTGTGTGCAATTCTTTTTTTATTAGCTTTGAGTACCGTACTCTGATTAATCCGCCTTTTTGACTTATTGACTGTACTGACTTGTTCTTGCACTAAAGTACTACTTAAAAAGAAGAAACAGACTGCAGTATGATAATACAGCTTCCAATGCTCCCTGACCACCTTAATTTATTTTTAATTTGAACACATATGTTTAGCCACATGTCTATGGTGTTTCAGTACCCTTTCAGACATCTTCTGGTGACCCTGAATTCCTGCAGAGAGCATAAAATAGTTTCAGAGCTCAGAGTTCTCACAGCAGTCAGAGATGCTGACTGTGCAGACAAGTAAACTCTTAGTTTTGGAACAAGAACAACAGGAGATCTGATCTTCATTTCTAAATCCTTTTATGATTGTAGAAGAAATAAAATTACTCTTTTTTAACTCAAATATCTTTCATCTCTCATGTAAACAAATTTCAATCTTTCCAGATTCTTATCTCACCAGAGGCTTTCTTTGCTCTTGATCTTTGTCAAGCTTGAAGTTTGCTATTTCCATCTGAGACACAAAAAAGGGAAAGCATGTCTGAGTAGTTTCCAAGGAACCAGCCACCTTGAGAATGTTACCTCTGTTTTCCAACTTTGCCTCATGTGGTAGTTCTATCTCTTAACCATTGTTTTTGTGTCCTTTTTTCTGAGTGTTAGTGCTGACTATGCTCTTTAATAGAACTGCTAGCTTTGACTGTTTTTGTACAAAAATTGGCAATTGCAGGTAAGCAAGAAAAGAGCCACTTCAGTTCTTCTCAGTGTCTCTCTGAGGAAGAGTTGGTATCTTGCCATAACTCTCTACAAAACCTTTAGCTGCAGAAAAAAACCTCTGTTTCAGTGGTTCGGTATGGTTACATCAGTGGTTGTCTGCAGCTTAAATAGCTTGCTCTCATCTAATTACTCTTAAGTGATCTTTTCAGTAATGTGGTTTACAACCCTTTTCTTCCTTGTGTTTCATCTAAACATCTGGTAGGATTACAGGAGAGGCAAAGTGGGGACTGTTGGCAGAAATTTCTTAGATTGGCTTTGCTGCAAGAGCAGATGAATTTTTTTAGACTGCCAACACAACATCTGTGAGCCAAATGGTCATTTGAAGAGTGAGAAGGGAAAAATTTTAATTAGGTAGGACCAGCTATGTGTCTTTCATTATTCATATAGTGAAGGAAAGTCATGTGTAATAGTAGCTGGCAATTTTGATGCATTAGTATACCATATGTAGATTTTCATCATTCATTTCAAACTTATTTTGAGCAGGTGGTAGGTGTATTCTCCATGGTCTCCATTTTCTTTACTTCCTAAGCTATGAATCATTCATATTTTTCCTGCAAGTATATCTGCTGTGACTGGGTGATTGTCACCTTGGCAGTGGTTTGGAATTAATTCATCAACTGTGAGCAGCAAGTCAGGCAGGCACATTTTTTTTACTGATGGCATCAGCAATTAATTCTTACTAAAGATCACTGAGCTGAAGTCAAAACTACTAGTTTATTTCCCCATGTTGCTGACAGTTTCAAACAGCATCTATGAAGGCCATCTATATTAGGTGCCCCTCCAGACACTGTCATTTTAGATACAAGCTTTTTCTTGCTCAGTTTTAAGTAGGTCTTCTGCTGCCCTCACCACTGCCAAGTTTAAAATTTGAATTTAATTTCTGATATCATTTTTTTCCACACTTTTCTCCAGTAAGTATGTTAGAAGTCTTCTACTGCATAGATCACAGTCTGTTTTTTACTTTTTGTACAATACCCACAAAAATAATCCCTGTTTGAGTAATGAGATATTAGTACAACTAGAATATACAGCTTTGTGTGTGGATATTGCAATTGGGCATGGTGATTGATAAGAAAAAATAAAACTGGTTGAAATTAGTTTTCTCATTAAAGATAGTGCAAGTATGAATCCATATACCTACCCTGTATAACTACTATGTTATTCATACTGCATTTCTTAATTTATTTCTTGTGCCCAAACTGAGGAAAAATGGACAAAAACATATTGTTAGAATTTCAGAAACATCTTCTTGCTGTAATGCAGAGTTTTGCCATTGCAAAAGTACTTGAAGCCCTGGGACTTGGTGATGATCAGTCATTCAGAGATGACTTCTGAGGCCTTCTAAGACCTTCTAATTCTGGATGTTTCTAGGCCTTCTGAGTCCTAGGAATTTTGGATGCTTGTTAGGATTAGAATGGTGACAATGTCACTAATTTTCTTTTTGTTGATCACAGAATGACAGAAGGGTTGAGGCTGGCATAGGTCCGTCTGTCCCTACCGCTGCTCCAGCAGGAGCATCCAGGGCAGATTACCCAGGTCCATGTCCAGGAGGCTTCTTGTCTTGTTTAGCTTGGAGAAGTGAAGGCTTCAGGGAGACTAGTGAAGGTGTGTAGCAGTGGCACAGATTGCCCAAAGAAGCTGTGGATGGCCTATTTTTGACGGTGCTCAGGCAGATTGGATGAGGCTCTGAGCAACCTGCGCTAGTGGGAAATGGATGTTGGAACTGGATGGTCTTTAAATTTACTTCAAGTTGAAACTGTGTTATGATTCTGCAGTTCCCTTGGGTTCTATTTCTGAGAGATTACTGCTGTGTTATGAGGAAGCTGTAGACCAGCTCCCCCTGGATGGCAGCTCAACTTCCTGGTCCATCTGCCACTTCCACCACATTTGTGTCATCAGCACACTGCTGAGGATGTGCTCTGCCATCATCCAGATCATTAACGAAGATGTTAGACAGGACTTGTACCCAGTGTTGGCCCCTGGACTTCCAGCTAGGCTTCATACCACAAATTACCACTCTGTGGTGCAACTGTTCAGCCAATTATCAGTATGCCTCCCTGCCTGCCCTTCCAGTCCATACATCAACAACGGGATGGAGGGAATGACATTGATGGAAAGGACATACCTTCAAAATGGGGAGCAATATTCTTCCTGGTTTTTATTATTTATTTATTTATTGGTTTTGGTTTTGGTTTTGAGACCTAGGGTTATAAAATCCAGGTTTTTCAAGTACTTACCATATGATCAGTTCTAGGAATTACCATGAACACTGTTATGAAACTGTTTTTAAGTGTTGTATAACAGTGCAAGAGACTGCTTCATGTGGGGTGAATAGGATACGCTTGTATGTTTAATTACAGGAAAATACCAAAAACACTGTGAGTTGCCTTTCTAATGGATTAAAAAATCTTTGTGTCTTTCCCTACAGCAATTGAAAGGTACAGTAAAAAGTACATGGATAATGAAAAGGAGCATGCAGCATGGACTCCAGGTAATACCTGAGAATACCAAAGGCTGTTTTGGTATTTGCCTGGGTAATCTGTTCTTCTGAAATGTTTGATTCCAGATTTTTAAAGTAATAAAATAGTACATGCATCCTTACCAAAGCATGTAGTCTTTGTTGAGAGTTAGGCCCTTTTGGTGTTCTCAGATCAAAGGCAAGTATTGTTTTGTCTAGAAAAGAACAAATAAATGTGATTTTATTTTTTTCTCATTCAAAACAGCTAATTCTCAGCAAAAAACGCAAGCTTGATCTCTACAGCTTTCCCTCTTTGTTATTTCCCATGCAAATACCAGTTCTGAACTGGGAGAAAATATAAAAGTTATGTACTAAAAAACTCCACCAACATGGTTTTTCAGTCACTGTTAGATTGATTTTATGACATTAAACTTTCACAAATATATCTGAATAGGTCAGTGTTGCAAACTTGATAATACTGTATAATTTAGAGGGCATCTGGGACACTGGAAGGACTGAACTTCGTCTGACTGGGGTAGATGCCAGCTTTCATTAAGTGGGTAAAATGCTATCCTCTTTATACTTCATCCTGAAGTACAGGTAAAAGTCAGCAAAATCGCTGGGATTCAGCAAAATCTTTGGGTGCTAAAACAATTACAAATCTTACAAATCCTGTATGACCTTATATGACAGTTAGAGTCACGTGATGAAATCAAGCACAACAGAGGCAGTCTTGCTAAGTGAGATGAGGAGGATTACTGCTGTAAATCATTGTTTGTAAGTATTAAAGCTACTTTCTATACAGATTGGAGAAGACTTCCAAGAGAGATGAAGCCAAGGAAAAAGATGAAGAAAGGTAGATAATGTATTTTAAAATATTTTAAAAGATTTCAAAAAAGGCATGCTAAAGCTGGTTACATGGACCTAATGAATAGGGATTTTGGTAGATTATTTTCTAAATAATTGAGTAGATTGCCTGGCTTTTAATAATTTGCTAGCTGCTAATATGTAATATTGGAAGATTAAAAATGCAAAAATCTTTTTGTTTTGCAGTCCATCTTCTATTTAAAGAATAGCAAGCTGTTCAAATTTTCTTCAAATTTTTGGTTTCTCAATTAAATTGTATATTATTTTGTTGACTTGTATTTTTTTAGGTCTTTTATATGTAATTTAATGTAGTTTATTTTCTATTTCTCTGGTTTTACTTTTTTTGTTTATTTTCTTCTGCAGAATTGTGAACCAGATCCTTCAACAGCAGTTGGAGCTGGTATTGGTTGCTCTTTAAGGAAAAGAAATCTTTTTATTGTACAGCATCAGACGTGTATTCATTTTTAAGAGTGTTTTTGTTTTCCAGTATGCATGACTATTATTTTCAGTTCTCAGTAGAAGTCTGTTGCTTTGTTGATGTGAAACAACACTTGGCCTCCTGTATCTAGCTGTCTGTTACGTACAATTGTTTACTTTCTTGCTCTCTTTGTCCAAGTCCTTCATATGTCATTTTTCAGTTCAAGGATAAAATAGAAAAAGGAATGGGAATGTGCAGTAGTCATGGAGACTGGCTCAGCTGGAAGCTTTTGTCTTATTAAGAGTGTCATTGAGAAGCATGGGAATAAAGGTAGACAGCAAGATTCAATTTCAATTAACTACTTATTTGCAAAATCCCTCAAGAAGAAAAGAGTGCATATCCATTTTCTTTTTTAAAAAAGAAGAAATTGCACTGGCTTTTGTAAGCCTGCAGGCAATAATAAACTCCCCAAGATTCTATGCAATCATAAATGCCAATCCAGTATCCCTTTGATATACTAACATTCTGATTATCACAAAGAATCATTGGTCAGTGCGTTCTTTATTTCCACCATCTTCTGTGCATGTTTCTCAATTTGCTCTTAAAAGTACATTTTCTTACATAATTGTAACAGCAAAGATCAGCTGCCCACCTTGATTTGATTGGGTAAAAAATCTGTTTCTCTAAAAGCAAAAATCGTGAGGTTTCAGGTTTTTTGAGGGGAATCTTGGTGACATGGAGATCATACAGAAGTCATGTTACTTTTTGTTTTGATGACACCCATGTTGGGTGACACTTCATAATCGAGTGGAACAAAGGTGAGGGAGTGAAGTGAATGTTATCTGCACTGATACACAGACAGGTTTCCTACAATTCCATCATCAAAGATCACAGGAGTGGTTTTTGGGTCATTACACTATATGTGCACGGCTGCCTTCATGTTTGACCCCCTTTATGACTTCCTTGAGTGTTTCAACTTAACACCTGGCCACATAATTTACTGACATAACTTCAGGTAGGGTTTCTTATCTCCCACACTTAGGCTGGGCTGTGGACCACTATATCTGAAATATCAGCAATACTTCCAAAAAAAAATAGCCCAAGCCAAAGTTTTTTAAAAAACACAAGCAGTAAGCAGACTGGCTTCAGCTCCTGTATGCACATGTATACAGCAGTCAGATTTACTCGTGTAAGACAAAGCACTGTAAGAACTGCAATTTAAAAGAAAATAGATTGTATTGCCTTGCTGTTCTGCTTAAAGTTCTACATTCAAACGGTGGGCCTGTGTCTGTAATATTACAGTTAGCTCCAGAGATTTCCACCATTTAGTGGAGGCTTTTGCATATCTTTTTTTCACTTCCAAGCTGTTTATAGACATTATCTCTAAAAGTTTGCAGGTGTTTGTGCAGAGGTGATCATTTTGAATCACACTTACCTGAAGGCCTCCTTGTTCTGGATGTATTTGCTTTGACAAAGCTTGACTTCCCTCCGCTATATGTGGTGCTTTTGTCATTTAAGCTCTTCCTGGGCAAAATACTGAACAGAGTGTTACGATTAATGCTTTTGAGAAAAGGGAATTATTATCATAGCAGCTGCTAGTGCTCCGTTTCCTTAGACATTGGACCAAATAAAAAAAAAAAAAAAAAAAAAAAAAGGGTGCTTGTTACATTAGTGCCTGATCAGTAGCTTTCTGGTCATCAGAAGCTGTATAACTACTCCAGTGTGGAACTTAGCCTGGCATTTTTACTCTGCAGAGAACAGCCATTATGTTGGGTACCACCCTAAGATGTAAGTTTTATGGAGGGCAGCATGGCGCAGCAAGAGAGTGGAAGGACAGGTGTTGTCATGGAAGCAGGACATTTCTAGCTTTGCTACAGTATTTCTCAGCCCAGTGCTCTTTGTTTCTGCTGGTTGAACTGCTCTCCTGGAACTGAGACGGTTGTTTCCCAAGCTTGGGGTGCTGCAATTCAGTCATACTTTCAACCTTTGCTCCATCATATAATGAAGTGGGATGGAATTGTAGGGAATAACTTGATTAAGGCTTTGTCCACGTAACAGTAATTTGTGGTCCAAAAGCCATTTTACTGCAGTAACCTCGTTACCCCAGGGGAGGCTCACAAACACTTCTGTCTGCCTTTTTTTTTCACTTAAAAAGAAAAAATAATCCTTTCTCTCAAGTGCCCAGCTGTCATTATTTTGTACATACGTTTTATCTCCTCAGATGATAAAAAGTGACAACATATCTGTGGAGCTTTTTCCTAAAATCTTTATTTATTGTGGGTAAGTGAAGAGCATTTTGTGAAGCTAAACGCTGTAGTTTGATCAAAGCTTCCATCAAATGTCTGTATAAAATGAATTTCAAGCTGGGCCTGTAGATATCACTTACATAAATCAGGCCATTATTCCTCTGTGATTGATCTAGCTCAGAGCTGAAGTAATTTTAGTACAGAGAGTATGGGATTTTCATGGCAGTTACTACTCTTAAGATAGAAGCTCTTAAAAGTAAATAAAAGGATTCATTATTTTATATACAAGAAAAAATAATTGCTATGTACTTTATTTCAGCAGGTGCAAAACCAAAAAAGGCAAAGTATTCTGAGCCTAAAAGTAACGTGGATGTGTTGAAAAAAATTGAGGTAAGGTGTGCTTAATCTTAGAGAATTGTACAATACAAATTACTGAAGGGAAATTAATTTTCTGATACATGATACTATGATAAGTTTTTGGGATAACCACATCAGCCTTTCTGGCCTGGTCTTGTTACCTGGACTGACAAAAGTTCTGCAATATAGTATAGCACAAGGGGGAGGAGAAGGATAAAGCCTGGCAATGGAGAAACTGGTTTTGTTTGTTTGTTTGTTTTTTAATTCTATTTAAGGCCAAACACATCATTCAGTTGTTCTTCACAGTATAGCTGTGTGGCCTAATTGTGAAAAGTAGAGCTAACTGAAGGAGGAAATTGACCCAGAAAATTTAAATGGATGGTTTTTACAGCACTTTACTGCTTCTTATTGGAAATATACCCATTTGTAAGTTGAGAGCAAAGAAACAGAGAGGAGAATTTAGGAGGAAAGTTACTGTGATTTTGGTGCTGACTACCCACCAGGTGGAAATGGAAAGCTGAAAGGTGAAATAGCCCCGTTTTTTTTTTTCTTGATGATGTATCAGCAGTTTGGTGCAGATATTTTATAGTTTGTGGTTACATCTTATCAAGTATTATATGACTTTTTACTGTGAATTGCTCCAAGAGTGGATGGTAAAGGGAATGAATCATCTCAGTTTATTACACAAGATTGGCTTTTTTTTAGAATTGAAGTCCAATGACTTACACTCAATAAAAAAAGTTCTTATAATATTCTAGCATTTCACATCATGTTGTCCTTAGATGTTGACAAAAAATATTTGTACAATATTGTCAGACTACTCATCTTACTGTTAACTGCAGCATAACACTTTGGTTGTGAGGAGGGTATATTGTTGCCATAATGTTAGATTATGCTGTAAATGAAAATGTCTTCTGACAGGAGTTGGAAAAAAAAGATGATGAAGAAGAAAAATCTGACGATGAGAAAGACAGAACAAAAGATAAAGAAGGTGAAGATGATGAAGAAGCTGAAGAGCCAGAAGAATATGATGAAGAGGAACATGAAGAGGTGCTTTATTTATTTTTCTGTTTACATCAGATCAGAGCACAGTCATTGAGCAGCGTGTTGGCTCTCCCCAGCTTTTCTGAACCAGAGGGAGAGCCACAGGGAAAGGCACTGTTCAATTAATTTTCCTTGTTGTAGTACACTGTGTTGTAGTTACGCAGGTGTTTTAGATTTGTTACTCCCAAACAGCTCTGAAATAAAGAGCTGGCCAACAGGAAACATGTCCTGCCACGACACATGAAACTACTTATTTTCACCATCAAAACAGGGCACAACATTTACGTTTTAAAAGGTTCCTCTCCTTTCAGATATAACAAAAATTAATTTTAAGTTTTCATATTTTCTTTCACAAGAAACTTACGTTAACAGTTCAAAAATTCTGTGCCCAACTAGTTTAAAACATATTTCTTCTATAAATTGTCTCCTTCACAAGACTGATAATCTAGTGATTATATGTTTATTTATAAATATAGTGATAGTATTTTGGTCTGCAATATGTTTTCATTTAGGAAAATGACTATATTTCTTCATACTTTGAAGATGGAGATGACTTCGGTGCTGGCAGTGATGACAATATGGATGAAGCAACATACTAGCTGCTGTTGCTAGGAGGTGTACTGTTCATGAAATAGAATCCTGGAGGTAGGCTGAGTATTCCTGACAGAACTAATGCTTCAGATCTTTTGGGTTTAAGCTTACTTTCCGAAAACATATGGAACAATTTTTTGTACTTGTTTTTCGCTGTAAAATGGGATCCCAGATCCCACATTTTGTTCATTTGCTATGTTTTGCAGATATGCACTTTTTAAAGCTTCTCTGAGATGCCTACTGATGCCAATACATGGCCTCTGCACAGAAAAAGAATGTATCCATTTTTGTGGAATTGTGCCTAAGCATTTGCACTAGTCAGTTCTGTGCTTTAGCTGTGAAATTCCTCATAACTGGAGCAAAGCAAAAATAAAGCCATTGCAGATGAAAGCTGCCCATACTTAGCAGCTGACTTCTTTGAAGGAATTCGCATTAACTTCTGAATTCAGGGGACTGAAAATAATTGACCACTAAGCACTTTAATGTAAACTGACTTGAAAGAATTGTAGGAATACAGATTACCAAGGTAATAAGTATTTTGAAGAGGTACTGTTCTAGTCAGCAGAACTCTTACCTTTAGTATATTATTTAAAAGGAATGATAATATTTAACAATATGTTTACATTGCCTGTATGCATCAGTATAAGTGATTATTAGGGGTAATTTCATTTAGAAAGAATACATGACAGAATTTAAGATTGAGAAAGTATGCAATTGTGTTTTCAACAGTAGCATGCAGTTTGAAGGGATAAGAGTTTTATTAGCTCCTCAGTTTTTCTGCCTGTTACGGCAATATTAACTTTCCTACCTCACAGAGCTGTTAAGTGAGATAGCAGATTATATCCATGTAACGAGGCATTTACTTACTTTTCTACAAAACAAAGTATACAGAATGAAAACTAATAAAAAAAGCACATACATTTCTCATGCAAGAGAAATATGTGGTAAAGCATGTTGATTGTGAAAAATTAGGAAAACATGAGTGCTCAGAATAGGAAAACTACAATGTTTAGAAACTTTTTAAAGAACCAACAGCCAAAATGTAAAAAATTTATTCCTGAGTTTAGAAGCTAGAGGAACACAGTGACAGAGCAGTCTCTGTGTCCCTTTGTCCTTTGACTATATAAAATATTTATCAGTGTTATAATTTATCAGTTTTGTTGTAACATGAATGTGCTGTTTCTTCTAACAGGTTCTGTTGGCAGGAATAATGAAAATAAAATGTTTTATGAGCAAGCCAATTCTTTTGTCAGTTTTCTTTGGAAGTGTGGCATTTTGTCAAGCAGCGCTTTACCTCACTGCTGACTAGAAAGTCATACTGCATTATTCTGTGGACTCCTCCATGCAATAAGATGGAGCATTCTGATAAACTATATATCAGTTCTAAAGGAAATTAAAATGCAATGTATGTCACACTTCAAAGGTAAACTAATTGCATTTTGAAGAACATTCAATAAACAGTCTGCTAAATTATATAGGAAATGTATTCTGTTCATTTTCTTTTGGCAACATACATACTAGCAGTTGTTTCTTCAATAGATGTGCACATTTCATCTATGTGGTACATAACAGAAGGCACTGTAAACAAGGCAACCACGTTGAACGGTAAACAGTGAGAGAATCCCTGCAACTTGCATAAAGAAAACAAACAGAGTGCTTTTGCCAAGGGCAAAAGAACCAGAGGGTAAACACTGGAAAAGCAATACTACATGTGTTATAATTTGGCCACTGCTGTGGCTAGCTTGAGCACATGACTCTTCTTTGGAACAGGGGACTTTCTTCATTCATCACCTATAAAAGGTTAACTGTGGTCACATCTGTTCTACACAGAAGCAATCACCGTGTCTCAGGACAGATCTTCTAGACTAGTTTAACAATGGTAGATAAGGTCAAAGCTTAAGAACAGCCTGTGCCCTATGTTAAGTAGCTTCTGAAATGGAATGAGGTTGTATTGTTTCAGAGCCGTAATGCTCACAGCTGTTCTTGTAAGTTGATATTTCTAATTGCTTGGGATTTATTCCAAGACCATGATGTTTATAAAATGTAGACTGTTTGCTGGGTCTCAACAAATGTCAGACTTGGATAGATCTAGCTGAGGCTGGAGTTGAAGGACAGCTAAGCAAGTGTGTGTGTGCTTACCTTCTTTCTGGGGTTAAGCTAGGACACTAACTTAATTTTTCATTCCTATCTCTCAATACTGTTTTCACAGAACTAACAAGTTCTAACAAGAACTTTATACAGAAAAGTTCCAATTTAAACAAGGCAGGCACAGGACAAACCTTTAACCTACCAGTTACGGTATTCTAGACATGAATGCTATATGCAGCTACTGCCAACAAATACTTGTTGGCCAAGGAATATTTCAGATTACATGCAAAATTAGCCAAAACAAATACAAGTAGAGGCTTTTTTATAATACATGCAAAATACAGTTAAGAATACATTATAAGCACTACTTTCACTGCAATCTAAAAAAGAACTTTTATTTATGTTCTTCTAAAACCATCTTGCATCCTCATCCAGGATTATTTTACAAAGCTATACCTTGAACCTTTATAAAACCATTATACAAAAATTATCTGTGACAATATATTCCAAAATACAGGTTTAAAGCATTTAAAATTTTATATGATCCAACAGTGCAATATGCACTTAAATTTCAAACCTACTTCCTGACCAACTCTGTGTTGTAGTTAATCTATAATGTGATTTACCATGCAGTTTGTTTTGATATTATAAAGTCTAAAAGACTAGCTTTACGTTTAATTTAGTATGTCAGATTTTAATTTCATACTGAGGAGTTACTCACTTTATTTGGAATATGATGCACTGCCATTCATGTGGTACTTGGAAAAAGACTTGGGAAAAAGTAAAAATACCTGCACCTTGCAAATAGCAAAACCAGCTGTTGTTCGTACTTAAGTCCAACATAAATTCTCCTCCCAACATTATATTTTCTGATAACAGTAACATTCTGATTTAAAAACATGCTAATAAAATACGCTACATAACAGTAAAAACATGTCAGACTCTTGGTCAGAGTATACTATTGTTCAACAAAACTGCTTTCCCTTTTTTTCTTTTTTCAAACTGCTTACCATGCCACTTTCAACAACTCAGTGACAGTAATGCACAGAACACTCTAGAAGTCCAAAGCCTGGGATCCACCAAAGAGCTACTCAACTCCACCACCACAGGAAAAAAACCAACAGTTAACAGTTAGCTAAGTGAAACGGCAGTGGAAATTAAGGCCACTTTGAATGTGATGGCAGTTTAGTACTTGCCTGTTAAGGTACATGTGGCAAATCAGGCTTAATGTTACATGATCCCAGTAGCTAACATTTCTTATGAAATTAAAGAATTAAAAATGTTGAGGTTTCAAAAAGTATGAGGAAAAACAGCAAATAAGCTTCAACTAAAAAACTTGACAAATTAGGCAGCAGTTCCCAGCCTCAGGAGGAACATGGCTCATCTGTTTTAACGTGCCAAAACTGTTATCTGGACAAGTGCAAGTCACCTATTTTTAAGTTCACTTGCTTGTAATGTTTTAACCATAGAAGCTGCATCACATTAGCCACCACAAATTATTTCACAATACAAATTTTTGTAAACCTTACCCAGAACTGGAACTTGAACATTCATACTTGTGTTATTAGCATATGGTTTTCAAGAGAAGAAAATTATTTAACAAGATTTTTGAAAACCATGTGTTACGTGAAACATGAAGCCCACACCGACTTGAATTCCTCTCCTTCTGTGGAAACTGTGAGCAGCCACACTGTCACCAGTTATACTACTTTCACTGAAGTGCTCAACAGCCACTTGTTCACAGGTTGAACTATAGGATGCTTTCCTTCATGCTTTATGCTACACTTTCAATAAAATTTAAGTAATGCCTCCTATTTTACATTAGCCCATGATGTCAGAGGAGGATGCTGGTGATACAGCAGTAAAGGTTGAACCTTCCCATCAATACTGTTACATTTGGTCACTGTGTGACTGATGGTAGCAGAGAGGCAAAATAACTGGCACCCACTGATGCATACTGAACATTTATGGAGACCAGACAGTGGTTATGAGCACAGTGAGGTGGCGAGTCAAGTGTTTCAGCAGCAGCAACAACAATGTGAAAGACCACATTCTGGGCAGCCATGCACAGCTGACATACTGTGAAATGAAAGGTGTCTACTCTGCTCACCTACGCAGATCAGTTAATAGCAGTAAATATGTTGAAAAACAGTGTTTTGTAGCTGAAAATTCACTTTATCAAGCAGTGTTATTACACTCTTTGTAAGCAGTACAGTTTCCATCAAAATAAGTGGAATAATAATAATACTTTCACAGCAACCTACACACATTAATCCAATTTATGTTCATACACTCAGAACACGGTGAATAATACTTGCCCCACTTTTGGGGGGGCAACAGATAGTGGCACAAGTCCTTCCTCTCAAAATTCAAAAAAATAACTGCTTTGTCGGATTTTTTCATACTGTATATACAGTCAAGACAATCACAGGAGAGTTTATGATAGAGTTTAAATTGAAGTTAGTGATATTTTTTCCATTTCTCCCCTTTTTAGTCAGACTAAAGTCAGTTAACTTCAGCTTTGGTAACACTACTTCAGACAGGACCAGAGACATTTTACTTCATAAGGCAAATATAACAAAAGATTACAGGAACACATCAGTTTTTATTTAAAAATGTTCAGAATACACAAGAACCTCTTTTTTTTTCTTCCTGTATGACAAGTCCTGTTCTTTTTTGCTCGTTTTCCTCCTGCAGCATTTCAGGCAGAGAAGAAAATAAGGTAGAAAGTTTGTTCATGAAAACAAATGAAACATTCAAGAAAAGAGTGGTTGAAGAATACCAACTAGAGAACAGTGTGAAGCTGCAACTGGTCTATTCTGCTGCAGCGTCAGTTTCTTGCTAGCAGCCACTGAATCTCATCTGAAATTTTGTAGATTTCAGGAAAAAGTTGTTATTCCAGATTCATGGGCAAGTGAACGTTAGCACATTCAGAACCCAATGGTAACCACTGTCTGAAGAATCAGTTGCTTTTACACTGAGATCAAATGGAGGAAGAAAAAGTCATTACCATAAAGATTAATGAAGCAATCACAGCGAAGTGTCACACATCTCCACTTATTTCATTTCATATCCAGCTGACCATAAGAGAAGTGCAGTCCAGTCAACTGAAGGATACCACAGGGAGGTATGTGAAGTTCTAAAGAAAAGATCCAACTGCTGAAGAACATACGACATACGTAGCAACATGTATGACATCAACAGGAACAAAGCTACCCTTCTATCTACACTGAAAAGTACTGAAGAACAGATTGATCACAGGCACAAATTTTGAATATTCCACCTTAAGCATTAGCTACTGCCTCTATGAAAGACTTCTAACAAAAAGTGGACTTCATAGTGGCAATTAATTACAGAATGATTGAGTTTTAAGAATTCTATAAGAAAAATAAAATTTTAAGAACATAAGTCTTAACTGGCAACTGTAAACTTGATATTAAAATGTCAAGTGTACTATGCATTCTATAAATATTTTAAAAGATAGATATCCCCAAATACCCACTTCGGGGCTGTAAAATGTGCAGTGAAATTCCTTATGTGTTGCTCAAACTACCTTCTTTTACTCTGTCATTAATTAGAAAACATACACCTATCAAAACAGAAAAAAGTGCAAAGCTTTAAAGACAATTCTGTATCTTAATTCATATCCTGATCTTGCACCAAAATCTCCTGCTTGAAGCATATTACAGGATTATATCACCCACTGAAATATCCTCAGACTGGAACACTGCCCATAAAGTTAAATCATACATCATTAAGTATTTCCCCTGCATTCCAGATGCATTTTGCATTGTGGTTTCACCTAATGCTATGCTATGTGTCTGTGAATAACATCTGCCTGGGGTTTTCGATTGTAAGGCTGGAAGTCTCCTTGGCCATCAACATTTATACTACTTGCTGGATTTCTTCCATTTTCTATTTGTTTCTGATGTGATGCTGTTGTGACAAAGGAGTGGGCGGATTCCATTGTAGAATGGTGACTGACATCTGCTTTCACCAAAACTTCGTAATACAAAAGATAAAAAACGGGAGTTATTATGCCAATAATCAACATAATAACTACAGCTGTCCACCACCCTATCCCCCAGTCTGCTCCATAGTACGGATCCTTGCATTTTTTACTTCTACCATCAGTTTCAAAACAGACCTGTTGGGCTGCTAAGGCAGAAACCACTTCATTAAGGTTCTCTCTCTTCGTATCATTACACTTCACAATTTCTTCTATATCTCGATCCACTTCCTTTAAGAAGTTGCCAGCAGTCTCATTAGCAGTGAATTTATCAGAAGGTAATGCTTCCTGCACTTCTGGGGAATAGTGAGCAGGCCGAAGAACTGTTCTTCCTTTTGGAGACACATGTGTTTCAGTCAATACACTGAACTTTTTCACTGGAATTTTGATAGACCTCAGAGCAAAAAAGTCTTGATCATTGATAAGATTGTTAACTCTCTTGATATCCGCAACCTGAAAGAAAAAAATAATAGTTGAAATAGCAAAGATCCACGGACGTGAACTCTCAAAAAAGGTCTGAATTGAGAAATAAAAATTCTTCCCTAATGAAGGAAAAGGATAACTTATACCCAAGTGGCCTCCAACCAGTTAGAGGTCAAAGATCAAACTTGAACAAAGTTACAGCAAGAAGGTTATTAAAGGACCCTTCCTTGCGATGATGACTTTGAAACTCATTTCATAAACTTCACTTAATGTGCATTGAACTATTACTGGAAAGCATCTCTGTTAAATGAACAATACTTTGCCATCATGTTTTGCTAGTAAAATGAGTGGCTATGATTTCTTAGTCAAATTCAAAACTTTTGAGTAAAGATTTAAATTTCTAAGCATCCAGTGCACCTGACCACAACTAGTTTTGATATTATTCCTGCTTTTGGGTGCTAAGGTAGAAACAAAGCTTAGTTTAGCACACCATCATCTTCATCAGGTCAGTTCTCCCTTTCCCTGTTCTTGCTCAAAATGAATTTTGTTTTTCTCTTTAAGAGGCTCACATTTTAAATCTCAGTTAAAGGGTTTAACTGCCCTTGGAGAATGAGCAGCTTCATTTTCATACAGCAGTTCCATGAAGACATAATATAGAGTCACAAACCTCAAGATAATTAGCCTGATGATAATTAAGTACTTAAAGTCAGTATTTTTTTGTAACAGAACACAGAAGAATATAGAAATTTTGTCTCTTACAGGTGCATAACACCAGAGATCCTTCCTGTCCTCACTGGGAGGACATTATCTGCAAAGAAATTACAGACAAAAAACAAGGAAGTTCAGAGCAAGGTCTAGAGACCCTTCTCCTTATAACTGCTCCACTTAAAACAGAGATTTGGGACAGAAAAAGCCATCTGAGACAATCAATCAATGCCCACTGCCTGCAGTAACACTGTAACATGTAAAGCATTTCAATTCCTATGACAGTGTATTTATTACGTATAACTAAATCAAACTGGCATAAAAGAGAAAATAAACACAGCATTCACCTGAGTGCTCAGCAAGCCTACTGCAATGCAAATTACGCTTTTTACCTAAAGCCCTGAACCCCTTGCACCTTCCCCAGAACTAAGAGTGCACATCAGTTATCCTCTAGCTATGTCCTACTTGAGGTCAGTCTAGATAGCTGTGCACAAAATGTCCAATTGCAGTGAGTCTTGAAACTTAAATTTAAGCCAAAGCCACGATGTCACGATTATCAAAAAGTTACGCTGGGACTCTGGTACATTAGCTCACGGCAGGAGGGCTCTAATTTTATTACTGCCTAATGAATTAGATAACAGCATGACTTCTGGAAAACAATGATCTTAAGGCTACCTCTGACCTTCGTAGAGCTGTAGGGCTAGGAGTTGGCACAGCTGACTTCCTACACCACAGCAGAGGTCCCGGCCTCGGCCAGCACCATGCAGGCACGGGCAGCGACGGGAAGGGCACCCACCAGGCTCTCCGAACGCCGCCCAGCGAGAAGCAGAGATGCAGAAGGCCACGCACAGCGCTCGGCCCCGCGCAGCAGGGAGCTCTGCGGCAGCGCAACGCGCACGGCTGCAGGCGCCGAGCAGAGCCGGCCAGCGCGGACTCACCGAGCAGCAGTACTGCAGCGCGATGGCGTTCAACGTGTCCCCTTCATGGATGTCCTTCGTCAGCAGGATGATACCGTCCAGCCTGTCCCTCGACGTGCTCCGCCGGACCTTCTCCCTGCCTCGCGGCCGCAGCTCAAACACCTCGCCCTCCTCCTCGAGCCCCTCGCTCTCCCCGGCGTAGAGGTGGCCGCCGCCAGGCGGCTGCGTTCCGGCCGGCAGCTGCAAGCCGCATCCCGGGCCTCTCCCGGCCATGCTCCCAGTGCGGCTGTGCAGGGCGGGCGGCAGACGTGGCACCCTCAGCGGGGCCGCTGGCCCCAGCAGAGACGCAGGCCCGGCCGCAACCCCCCCAACTCGCTCCGGGGACGTGAGACCAGGCCCCTCTGCCCGCCCCTCCCCGGAAGCGGCCGGGAGCCGTACCCAGCACCGCCCACACCTGCCCCGATCCCGCCGTCGCTCCGCATGGCCGCCACGTCCTCACGATGGTCCCTCCCCGGGGCTGTGCTCAGCGTCGCCGCCGGAGGGAGGCAGCCGAGCGGGGCGGCGCGCGGTGGCTTTGCGCTGCGCTGTGCCGTGCCTGTACGGCCAGGGCTGCGGTGGCTGCTCGGGCTGGAAGCTGCTGCGTTTGTGGCAGTAAGAGCTCTTCGGAGGAGCCCTGTGCGCCCAATCTCCAGAGTGCGGCGGCTTTGAGTTCCCGCCTGGCTCTTGCTGCGTATTGCTTTTGCAGCAGTTGCCGTGCATTTAGCATCACCCAGTCACGTTTTGTCCCTGAAGAAATACCGTGTTCAGCCCGTGCTGACGTATTTCTTTCACAAGAAACTGTAAATTCACTATTCTTAATACCGTTTGGGTTTGGGTTTTTTTTTTCACTTTTAAACGAAAGAAATCTGTTGCTAGAGAGAAGGAAGTGATAAGAACAGTAGGACACGAAAAGAAAACTTCCTAGCAAGCAGGGTTGGGCTGGGGGAAGTTTCTTCAGGCCCTGCAAGGGTGTGTGCCCCCACAGCAGCAGTCAGTAGATGCTACACAGCAGCTGGCAGCCCTGATGCCAGCCTGGGGCTACAGCTGAGGAGTTTGTTGTTTTGTGTGGTTTTGGTTTTATTTATGATGATTATTTTACATAATTTCAGACTTTCTTATACAAAGAGGTCAGAAATATGTTTGGCACTGAAAAATGCAGAGTTATTTCGTGACTTTAGTTTTGCAGACTGCAGATGTGAGCGCTAAACCGTTGTGCCTCTCTGTGCAGCATCACACTCGGAAGCTGGAGGAGACCTTTTGCAACCTGAGTGTTTCTCTGATTCTATGATTCTAAGACTTGAACCACGTTTCTGGGCATTGTAAAATGGATTGTCAAAGTACAGTGCATTTTTGTTTCACAGTTGTTCTGGTTTTGGCTTAATCATTTAAGGTAATACTGATTTGTGGACTAGGAAGAATAAAATCATATGAGTTGGAGGGGGCCCTTAGAGGCCACTTAGTCTAACTGCCCTGCAATGAACGGGAACACTTACATTTAGAGCAGGTTGCACTAAAAGCTGGTCGAAGTGGATGGCTCTGAGAGACGTGATGGCCATAAGCTAGGATGAGAGGTTGCACCAGGGAAGATTCAGAGTGGATATTAAGAAAAATTTGTTATCCAAAAGAGTGGTATGGCACTGGAATGGGCTGCCCAGGGCAGTGGAGTCACCGGGCCTGGAGGTGTTCAAGAACTGTGTGGATGTGTCTCTGAGGGACATGGTTAGTGGGCATGGTGAGGATGGGCCAACAGTTGGACTAGGTGATCTTAGTGCTCTTCCAGCCTTAATGATTCTATGACTGTTGCATTTTGTGATGAAGCACAGAGCAGCACTAAGCTGTCAGCTTCTAAAGAGGAAAATATATTGCCAGCATGAAGCTGGGCTCAGCTGGTAGAAGCTAATCTATAGGCTTTGTTGTTTTGTGCTGGTGAAAATATTGCTGTTGATGCCAAACCTACTACCTTCTCAAAACAAAGTTTGTTACGTGTCAAAGGAATATTTCTAAATAGTTCAGAAATTGAAGGAGAGATCTTTTTCTTTGCTACAAACTACTTGAAGGCATCTGCCCAATCAGAGCCTGCTCGGAAATAAGCTGTCTGTTTTTACCATGGGTCAGATGCACAGCTTTTGCTAATTAACACAGCTGCTCCGAACACCTTAGACACAACCCAACATAGAAGCTTCTATACAACGACTAGCTTGAATTGCCAGATTACATGGCAAATGCTTGAATATGCTATCAGAGGTGCTAGAATGATTCTATTTCTGACCAGATAGTTTTCTGAAAGTAATGCTTTCTGTTTATTTCCATGGAAACTACAACAAAGAGCAAAGTAACACTGATAGAGCACATTCTCAGCTACAAGGCTATTTTTTGACATATTCATCACCATCAGTCATGGACAAGGGCATGCATGCCATGCTCATAAAAAAATCCGTATGGCCATCTGCAACATAGCTTGTCTTTCATGTTGCTGACACCACTGCTGAAATGCAGCACCCACTCCATATGCACTTTTATGTCACACACCATTCTGTCAGACTGCCCCTCTGCTACCATCTGTCACATGGCAATAACATGTAGTGGGATATGGATGGGAGGTTCAGCCTCTACTGCCGTACCACCAGCATCTGCCAACATTGTGAGCCAACATAACAGGAGGCATTACTTTTGGAATAGCCCTTGTTGGTTGGATTTTTCACCAATGTTTCTGCTGTATTTCCAGAAAGAGCAATATGCATTACTGAAGGTAACAAAATTTCATTAATTTCCCATCAGACCTAAGCTTTCTTTTGGGATCTCAAGCTGCAAAGAAGTAATTATAACAAAGTGAATGAGAATTCCATCTATTGAGAGGTGCCGTGCCACATCTGGCATAGGATATCTATGGCACCAACTTGTTTTGTGTTGTTGTTTAAAGGAAGCTTTCAGGAGCAGAGATGAAGTGACTGTAGTTGTCTGTAGCTGGGAAACTGATGACTCAACCCCTATTCATGCTGCTGAAAGACTGCATTATGAGACCTGCCGGAGCTGTGGGTGGACCTGGAGCAGTCTGAAGGCAGGCGTCATACCCAGTGATGCCTACAGCAGTGTTTGATGGGCATTCCTTCATACGCCATTCATGGCATATCCTTCTGGAGATTTTCTTTAATCTTTGGGTGGTGGAGCTACAGAAAAGGTCAGGGTGGGGAATTTCACCATTTCTTTTATCCGTGGAGGTATACCACCAGGTCAAAATAGAACTGCTGAAGTAGCACGCTGTCTCAGAGGGGGAAAGAAAGTACTGGAGTTTGCTTTGACCTTGCTACACCCCTGTGTGTAACCATTTGTAACTAGTGACATTTTCCCATCAATAACAAAAGGGTATATTCCAAACTTGATGAACAAGACTGTAGCTGCATAGCTCCCATGAATGCTAATAGGAATTCCGCTTTTCTCCATCCCCATGTAAAGTTACTTTGCATATCCTAATAGTGCATTCTCAATGAGCAGCGGGGTCAATGTTAATCACTCCATGGCATTCCAAGAGCAAAGGCAGGGATCTCCACCACATTCCCCTTGGTCATGCTATGTCTAGTGCGTCTTAATCACAGTCAGAAATGTAGGTATTCACGTAGACATATCTTAAGAAAATAATAAAAAGAACTTATAAAGAAGATGTTAGAAGGGTAATGTGGCTTTTAAGTCACATTTAAAAAAAAAAAAAAAAAATCTGTCTGGAAATTTCATATAGTTATGTCCCACAGCAGTTTTCATGAGTCTTTGTATCACTTCCATTCACAGTGACAGGGCTCGATTGACATTTAGATGACCAATATCTAAACGTATACTTTAATTACTTGATTGAAAATATAAGCTACGAATCACCAAAAGATTAACTCAACAATTCAAATAACTTCATCTGTTTCTGCTTCCCTCTGTGGCACTTAGTGGTACTGAAGCTGTAGGATGCAGCTGTGTCAGTGGAGATCTGCAGCTCCAGTGGGGTCCAATGAAGTGCCTTCCTAGGGAGTGTCTGGCTGTGAGATGTGCGAAGTGGAAGGAGAGCAACTCTTTAAGAACTATAGAGTAATGCCAGGATTAAATAAAGCTAGATTTGCAGACATTTGCAGATGAGTTTGTTATCCATTGGAAATATTAGCCTATATGTATCTAACTGTGAGTACCATGATTCAAGCCTTGATTCTCAAAATTTGCATAAGCCCTAATTGATCAACTGGTTTTGGACAATTTCACATAGAAGTAACTAGAAGTACAAATAAAAATTTGATTAGCATTAATAGGATTTTAATGACAATAAATGATAATTAACAATATTTCATTAGGCCTGTTATTTCCTGATTTCATATTTCATTTATTTGAATTTATTTGCTTCCCTTCATTTACTTGACTGCAATTCATTACTTTTTAATCCTTTTTAAATTAAGTATGTATTCATTGTAGAAATACTCTGTGTACCTTCCATTTCACAAACAGTGAAATTGAGAGCATTGGCTGTCTGATGCTTGTTTTTCATAAAATCTGTAAAGAACTTACTTGCAAGTAATTTACATCTTAGGTACCTTCTGAATAGGAAAATCTTCCGATGAAACCAGACAGACCAGTAGCAGTGAAGGCAGTAGGCAAAAAGGGTCTGTAGACCTTAGAAAAATTATTTCATATTATTCATAGGCAGATTTTTCTATAAAATTCTGAATTCCTACTCGTATATCCCTGTAACAGTGCATAAGATCTTCTGTAGTGTGACAACTGGTACATTTTTCTTTGAAGATTGTCATAGATTAGTTCCAATTTTTGCTCTATGAATCTCCAGTTAAGTAGCTGTTACTTTTTGATAACACTCCCTTGAGTAAGAAAGTTCAGTGCTCAGCTTGTTTCTTCTCTGATGGAATTTTTACACTGTGGTCAAATCTTCCTATTTTTTAAAATCAATTGCACATTATGAAATTGTTAACTTTTTCTCTCTGTTTTCTTTAGCTCTCAGTTTTTAGGAATGTGGTTTGCTTGCATCCTCTCCTTTTTGAGTTTCAGTGTCATTTCTAAAGTACGGACACCAGAACTTAGGCAGTTCCAATGTTCTTCTCAAGAATACCATGTGAAAAGGTAAACAGTTCCCTACCCTGTCCTCCTATAGCTGTGGTCACTAGTTTTCTGTTGGTATGTCTGAAGATGACGCTAATATTCTGTCACACCCAGAGCACTGCCCTGGATGTGTAAGGTGAGCTGCTTCTCCTCTATTCAGATTCTGCAGAGGAAAATGGTCCAGAAGACCATTGGTAAGGAAGGTATAAACTCCATTTTGGTTTTGAAAATATTCAGTATAGTTAACATGACTGTTTTTGTGGGACCAGCTTACCAAGTAAG